CTCGGGCCCTTCGCGGGCCGGTCGCTCACGCGGCGCCTTTGGAATCATAAAATTGGAATCATAAAATCGCAGAATCGTTAACGTTGGAAAAGCCCTTCAAGATCAAAGAGCCCATCCCCACCGTGCCTGCTAGACCATGTCCCCAAGCGCCTCGTCTGCGCGTTTCCTGAACGCTGCCGGGGACGGCGACTCCACCGCTTCCCTGGGCAGCCTGTTCTGAGGCTTCACCGCTCCTTCCGTGTGGAAAACTTTTCCTAATATCAAACGGGAACCTCGGCTGCCACAACTTGAGGCCATTTCCTTTTGTCCTATCCATAGTTACTCTGGAGAAGGGACGGACTCTGTCTCACTACAACCTCCTTCCAGGTAGTTGTGGTAGTTGTGGAGGGCGATGCAGTCTCTCCAGAGCCACCTCTTCTCCAGACTCAATGACCCCGGCTCCCTCAGCCGCCCCTTGCAGGGTCTGTGCTCCAGCCCCGTTTCTGGACACATTCCAGCACCTCAGTGTCTTAATCCCTAATGTCTCCAGGCCTCAGTGTCTTCACTGGATATTGGATGTGAGGTAAGTGCAAAATACCACCTTAAACACAAACTTTTCGTGGGTGGCATTGTGCCATGTAGCCTGGGTTTGCAAGGCAAGTCCTTCCTCCACTTCTGAGCTGAAAGGAGTTTCAGGAAACTCAGTTTAAATAACACCTCCGGGTGGTTATTTAGTGCACGCTTTCAGTACTATATTACAAATTATATCACAAACTCCACTTCCTTTCTCTCTTCTCCTTTTCCAGGTGCAAATTCCTGACCTTTTTCTCTCACCACTTCCTGTTTCCATATTATTTTGTTGGGGCTTCCCTATATCTGGGTTTTCCTAACACTGTAAATATGGCTATGAGGAGATCTCTGAAGAATGTATGAGCTTTTCGGGGCAGTAGGTAGATTAGTTACGGAATAGGAGGGAACTGGAATTATTTTGCATACATTTTTTTTGTCTGATATATGTATTTCTTTCACCAGTAGGTGGCTTTCTATCCATTTGTTTGCAGTGAGACTGTCTCAGAGGCCAGCACACAAGCCCTCAAATTGAGTTGGCCTCAAAGTAGAAAGATTGAGGGTGTTCTTATCAAACCAGCTGAACAGAGAAAATTTGAGTTTACTAAAAGCACAATGAGCATTAAGATTAAAGAAAGAATTGAGAATATGTGGGTCTGTGGTTTGGTTCTTAGTTCAAAGCCTGCAGCCTGGCTGCACCCAAGCCCTTTAGGCCCCAGCTATAGCAGGAAGATGTAGAATAACCCGTTCGCTCCCTTGATTTGGGGGTTGGCAGCTCACTCGGGCTATCACAAACACATATTGCTCCGAATGGAGCGGCCTGTTTGCTATTCCAAGGCTTGGGAATGCCGTGGTCTCCCGGAGCGTTCACATAGCTGCTCCCGTGGCCAGGCCCTCGAGCAATAACCAACCTTTGGCACCATAGAGGCATCTTGCTTTATCTCTACATGCCCAGAGCATCCAACTGTTACTCGTTCACATTCTTTATGCAGCTGTGCTGATCTTTAAGTAGCTTGTGCACAGTATGGATAGTGTCCCAGAGCATTAGAGGATTGACATTTCGCTATGTTCATGAGTACTTTTGACTTCAGTCCATGTCAGCTGGGCTAAGCGGGAGCTCCTGACCTGCCACAGATAAGCAGCTATTCCTTGCTGACGCCTTTGGGGCTTTTTATCTCTCGGAGTTTTTATTCTCCTTGCCCCATTTGCATTGGTTTGAGGTTACTGGCACATTCTTATAGAAGAAAAGTATTAATGCACTTGTGCTTAATGTACTGCCTGGTGCACAATGTCTTCTAAATACCGGAATTTCCGAAACAGTGTGCCCTGGCTAATCCTTTTTTGGGAAGTTGTTTTTATCATCCTCTTCTACTTTCTCTTCTCAGGTGTTGGTTTAATCACACCAGACTTCTTCGACCCCGGTAAGCTTGCTAGCCCTGCTGTCCAAGCAAGGGCTTTCATTGCAGTGTGCTGTGATTCGGCTTGTGCATTTGTTACTCTTCTTTAAGTGATGCCTGTAGTCATTAATATCAAGGCAAGCACAGTGGGCATGGATATGTGTGACATTAACTTGCATTGCTGATGTCTTTTCTAGCCTCTTTGCTCTGTCTGGACTCAGATGTACATTATAACCTGTCCCTGTTAAGTGCCTGTCCCTGCAAGCTCTTGGTGTGTAAAGGAGCTGCTGTGCTGCAAAATAAGAATTGAGGGCAGCAGTGTTTTCCCTTTGGATCCTTAATGAAAATAAATGAAGTCAATGCATTGGAATTAAGGGTTAAAATACGGTCTTTTATGCACTGATAAAGGAATGTATTAGCAGATTATTCTACAGCCATAGTAACATGTTTAGAGAGCTGTGAAAAAATGTCCCAAGGGGCATTTCCAAGCCTACAAGAGCTTATATGTTGAACAGCCTCTTCCTTTAATGCAGTGGTTTCCATGTTGAACTCCTTGTGCTGGTATCTCTGCCCATTTTCTCCTACCCCAATGGGGACATCATAAAAACGTCTCCTCCTAACTCATTTCTTCCCTGGAGCCTGCAAGGAATGAATCCGCAGTAACTCACAATAACTCTTTAAATTGATGGCTCGGGAGAAATGGATGTTCTAATTTTATTGCTATAACCTCATTCTTCATTTCTCTCCTTCTGCTGTTTGACTCCTCAGCTCCCTCTCTGTCCCCTCCATGCGCCATCCCATGGCATCCTCTCTGAAGTAGGTTTGTAAAATTCAATTCAAGGTGAGGGTATTGCCTTTCTGGTTGCTCACGGATCAGAAGGAAAGCTTTGGCATGCTTTAAACTGCTAAACTAATGGCATGAGAAGAACCACTTATACCCCCGATCAAGCAATCACACATACTAGATCTGGGAATAATCTTCAAGGCTTTGACACGGAGAGATAGGTTTTTTCCAGAAGTTCTCAGATGTTTTTGCTAAGATCATTGGTATTTTACACCGTGTAAAACCCAGTGTGTGCTTTGCTTTTAGCAATAGCTTTTAATTAGTGTATCACATAAACCACACTGCTTCTGGCTAGACGTGCCCTGAGTGTGGCTGCGTGCGGGAGAGATTTGGGGTTTAGAAGCAAAGCGGAGCACGGACATTGGCCGTGTTTCGGGATAGAGCCTTGAATGATGCAGAATGCTGGAATGTTTCCTAGCAGAAGGAGTTGCAGGTGGAAGTGGTTCTGCATAATGGAATATTACCTTGCAGGCCGCTTATCCCCTCTTGACAGGGTTCCCTAAGAAGGAAAATGTCAGGGCTTTTTAAGAGGGAAGAGGGCAAAAAGCTGCTCTGATAACTTCCCTGCTGCCTTGTTCTTCTCTGCCACGCAGCCTTTCAAGATGTCAGCCACATGGTGGTTTTTGGACTCGGCTTTTTCCTGTCATTCCTGAAAAGATACCAACTTAGTGGCATTGGATTCAATCTCCTGATCGTTGCATTTGGTGTCCAATGGTCTGTGCTGATAGAAGGTTTTATTCTCTTGTACCACAATGAAATGGAGGATAATCTGAGAAGGTAAATACTCCCTTTAGAAACAGGAATAGTCTAGAGATGCTGTTTTTTGTGTTGTTGTTGTGTTTTTTCGTCGTGTTTTGTCAAGGATAATGCCGTCTGATACTGATCTTTTTGCACATTAGCACAGTCATTTTGTCAGCCTTTGTGGAGGGCTTTGGATATTTAAGTACATTTTGCTGTCTCTCATTCTCATGATCATTCTCATGATCATTCTCATGATGCAGACCTGCTCTGGAATATTTTTCTCTTCTTTCTTTTCCTACAGCATAATAAAAGCTGCTATGAGTGTGACTGCTGTAGTCATCTCCTTTGCAGCTATTCTCGGGAAGGCTAATCCTGTCCAACTGGTTGTGATGACAATTGTGGAGATAGCAGCTTTCCATCTGAGCAGATGGATCAATAAGACGTACCTGAAGGTACAGTACCATCATCTTCTCATGGGGAAAGGTTTCACTGGGGATTTGCAAATGCTGCCTTGGGTAAATGCTGCCTTTTGCCGCTGCGCTGACGGGAGCATTCCTGTGTATTTCATGGGAATCAAGTTAAATTGTGGCTATGTTTTCACTGGGAATGAAGTGTGACTTTGGGAGCACGCTTGGGCGCTGTGAGCTCCACAAGCTGCAAACTGGACATCTACATAATTGTCTGTTTCTGGGGCTTAAAGGAGGGGCTGATAGATTGGGTTGGAGGGCATGCAGCCTTCCCTATGCCTTGTCCATCCTCAACATAAGTGAAGTCCTGACCTAAGCTAAGAACTGACTTTAAACTTTATCCTTTCCTCTTAGTTCCATCTGGAAGATTTCCAGTGCAAGTGGTATATGACCCCAGTCTGGACAGCAGGGTTAGAGCTGCATTTCATTTATAGTGTAGTCATCCCCCAAACCCTTTTGACACAAATCGGGTGTTTTATGAACTGCACTGAGCCTCGATAAATGAGTGTTGTCTTAATGACTTGTGTTGTCTTAATGACTCATGCTTAGACTAAGTGACTGTAGAAACAAATGGAGAGGTTACAGCTATGCCAGGACGTGACACTAAGTGTTCCTGTGGCATGAAATTAGCCACAAATTTGATTATTCTCCTGATAAAGATTACAGACTTCGCCAGTATGATGCATGTTCACCTGTTTGGAGCCTACTTCGGCCTGGCGGTCTCCTGCTCCTTCCCGGTGCTCCGGCCGGGCTTTGAGAAGAACGCGAGTACCCCCCGATCGCGCTTGCTCTCCGTGCTGGGTAAGGCCTTTGCTCCAGCGTCTCGCTGGGGAGGAGGGCTCGCAGCGGGAGCACCAGGGCTGTTCTGGGAAGTTAGCACTGGAATTTTCACATCCCACGTGCAGGCCTCAGAGCAGCGAAGCACAAACTGCTGCTGTCAGCGTGGCCGGCTCGCAGCGCCGAGCTGTGGAGTCCCAGCGCGTGTCCTGCCGGGCACATGGGCCCCTTGTGCCGTGTTGGGTTGGGTTCCCCTTGTCAGTCTCAGCAGAGAGGTTGCAGCTCTGCTGCCGCTGCTGCCTGGCAGGGTGCACCCTTTGGCTTGTGCAGGCACCTACACACAGGCACCCATGGGCTGAAGATGATGCCGTTTCTTGTATTTCAGAACTGCCTAGAGTTTCCATGCACTGGGCCCCAAGCTCAGCTTTGCAAGGTGGTGTACAGAGATATAAAAAGATAGTCCCTGCCTAAGTAGTGTAAATAGAAAGATAAAAGCCCAGTGGAGGGTGGGGAGTACTATACAAACAGGCACACAAAAAGGATCTGCATGATAACAGGCTGACTGCATAAGAGTTCCATTTTTTTGTCAAATAAGCAATATTTTATTATGGCTTGTTACAAAACTGCCACCACTTCAACTAAAACTGCCATGAGCTGGACTAAGAACTTTCTGTGAAGGCCCACATATACACACATAATGTAATTCTCAATCAGTCTTCAACCAGTTTAAGAGAGAAATGTAAATACAGCTCATTTGAGTCCCCAGAGCTCTCCATCTGCTGGAGAATTCCAGGAGATTGGTATTTTAATCCAACTCATCAAGGCACTGATAAGCCTTCATTATAGTTTTAGTGTGCTTGCTGTATGCAGGTGCTGGCTATCTGAAGTAATTATATCACTATGTCAGGAATAATTCCTTAGGTAACACAGTGAGAAAGGAATGACTGAGCAGGCAAATTCACAAGAGTTCCTTTTCTACATCCTGCCTCTGAAGGCTGCGTGAAGAATGCTGAGGTCTTCACCTTGAAAATTTGGACTCTTAAAGTGACTTTTTAATTTCCATAACTGAGCAGTTATTTGGAAGAACGATTCAGTGAGATTAGTGGAGTGGGTTTTTGTTTGTTTTTGTGACTATGTACCTAATCAACAGGGATGGAATAGTCTTAGTGTAGATCATTCTACCAGCTCTCATTACTGCCATAGGTTTTGAATGGTCAAAATGGCAATTTTGTCCCCTATCTTGGCTATGACAGACCCATCTCTAGCACTCAGCAGACCTTCCATTTGCTGGTATCAGACTGTGCTGGTGGGGTCGTTTCTTCTGAACACCTCGGGCTGTAGCCTCCAAACTGCTCTGCCTGGAGAGCTTTGCCTGCGGCAGCAGCAGATTGAGTGCTGAAATGTGTTGTCCAACTGGGACTTAGTGCGAGGACGTCTACTTCCCTCTGCTGGTTGGAATCTGACTTGCACACACGTGTACATGTGCACATGCAAGAACACACACTGACAGCAGGTAGCTTGTCTGTAGGCGAGGAGATTCCTGAATGCTGATAATAAGTGCACATCTTATAGAAGCAGAATAACCTGGGTTTAGCCAGGTTATTAGCCCGTGTGGCCGATGGAAGTGTGACACTGTCCACGTTTTTTAGAGGAGGAAAGGGAATTGCTCTTTTGAACCTCTGTCCTGGGGAGTAGCTGTTCAGGGGGTGATAATGTGCTTTGCTTTTACGAATAGCAAGACACTTAAGCTATGTACAGCTGAGCTGATGAAGGGCAGTCAGCTTGTGCTGTGTTGTCCCTAGGCTTTAACCCTTCTCTGGAGGAAGGACCAGCAAGATCCCCACGCAGCTGTGCTTGGGCTCTGTGTGTGACTTTGCACAGTACCAAGTTTCTGGGAAGCTTTCCCTAGAGCAGCCAGCTCTCAGGGCTGCCTTGTGAAGAGTTATCCATTGGTCATGATGTGGGTGTTGCAGTGGATGGACAACGCGAGCTGGAACCTTCCAGAAACAGCTTGTGATAGACTCACAGTGTCTGAAAGAGGGTCAATAACAGTCGCTTTGTCTTTATCTCCAAGGTACTCTCTTTCTGTGGGTATTCTGGCCAAGCTTCAATTCTGTATTAGTTGTGGAGAGGAAGAACGATATAATCTACAGCACCTACTTTGCACTTGCAGTGAGTGCTGTAACTGCCTTCGCATTGTCTGTTCTGACCACGAAAGATGGAAAAGTCAGTATGGTAAGATGTTAGAGAAAACCATTGCATGAAGAAACTGCATTTTTCTATTACTCTTGTAACACAAGATGGAAAAGTCAGTATGGTAAGATGGTTAGAGATGGTTAGAGAAAACCTTTGCATGAAGAAACTCTATTTTTCTATTACTCTTGTAACATAGTGAAAGAATGATAGCTAGTGAGTAAAAATAAAGCCAAGTCTTTGGCCTGACAGCAATCAAAATTATCTCAGGCAGAAGGCTGAGGATGTACCTTAGAAATTATGTACTCAAAGAGTATAATTCACAGAATGCAGAGGCCCACATTCCCATTAAGAAGATCCCTCTTGCATGGGAATAGCAGTCTGTGCTGACAGGGGATGACTGATTCTCCCTCCCTGTTTTGTTATTTTACAGGCACATATCCACCACGCAACGCTAGCTGGTGGGGTTACTGTTGGCTGTGCAGCAGACAGCATTCGGTATCCCTGGATTGCAATGATCTTGGGTCTGCTTGCCAGTGTGATCGCCATAGTAGGATCTCACTTTTTACAGGTAATGTTCAAACCTTGAATTTCCTGTTTGTGCAAGATATGCAAGCTTGTAGGATACCTTGGGAGAAAACTTCATTTTGAAGATATCAGACCTAGGAAACCTGAAGTCTTTTGGCCAGAGTGTGGGATGGCAAGTTAGAAGGCCAGAGTTATTTTTCTGAGCTTGACAATGTGCTATCATCAGTAAAATCAGTATTAACTGAACTTTTTCCTCTTCCCAGAGAAGTCTGCCTCCTGCTATCAAGATTCATGATGTTTCTGGCGTTCAGTTCACTTTTGGCTTGCCTGCTGTGCTTGGAGCTCTTGCCTGTACCATCCTTCGTATAATAGAAAAATGGCTTTATTTACCAAGGTACACCACTTCTTGCCATTAAGCAGTAGACTTAGCTAATCATGAATGTAGTGTGTCCTGAGAAGAATTCTCATGTATACACACAAAGTCCTGCCTACATAAAGAAAGGCTGAAAGTCATCATAGATCAATCCTTTTATAGCAGATAACTACAATGGTCTCTGAAGTCCAAAAAAAAATCTGTAAAAACTCTTTCAGAATCAAGCTGACTTTGAATCAAACTTCTAGTTAGCTCTTGGTGCTGTTTTCTCTCTCCCTTTGTATTTGATATTAAATATGGCAGACATAGGACACAAAGGTTGGGGGTGTGCATCCTTTCAAAGGATCATTTTGGCTTTTGTGACTTGTGTAGCAGGGTTGTATATTAATACAGTGAGGGCAGGGGGAAGTACAAAAATTTTAATTTCTGAATAGCGTATTTGGCAAATGCTTCCTCCTCATTGAAAACCAAAGCTGAAAAGGGCTGAGGCTCTGCTGAACGTCAGAGAGAGCTCTGTGCCCTCAGCATCTCTCTCCAGATGAGGCTTCCTGAGTCGGGGACAAGAATACCAATCTGTGCATTACACTTGAGGTCATACTCTTATTGAAATGCACAAGCCTAATGAAGTGTTGGTACCACAATAAGGGTTTGTTAAAATAAAGTCCTTTGAAGCCTGTATTAAATTTCCAGTAAGACCCTTTACAGCTTCTAAATGGAGCTGTATAGAGATTTGAGATGGGATTTAATGGAATTTTGGTATGAGATTTTGATGTAAAGTGCTGTACAGATGTGCCACTTCACAGTCTTAATGCTAAACTCAGCCAACTGTCTCCTTTTCAGCGATAGATATTTTATCATGATAGAAATCGGTACCTTCTGCCTGCCCATCAGCGTGGCCCTGATTTCAGGTTTTATTACAGGTCAGTATGAAAACCACATTTCAGCAGCATTGGCTTCATTTTCTCAGGGGCAGGGGATGTGCCATCCTGTTAACTTCACCTGCTACCACGCGCCCTTCGCAAAACGAGACCGGTGCAATTAGGACACTAAAGTAAATAACTTGTTTGTGTAAGAGAATCTGGGAGATGTGAATGCCAAGGACTCTGCAGTGGTAGGCTTTGAAGAGGAGGTGTATTAACATAAACAAGCTAGTAGCACCATTCTTTCACTTCTGAAGATTATTTTTAACAGCTGCTTAACAGCAGCTTTCACGTTTCAGACAGGAGACCTGGGAGGATGAAAAGGTTTTTATATTTGGGTATTGTCTTGATGACAGAAAAAAAAAAGCTATCTGGGGCATTTACCACTTTTTAGGCCAGCTGGTATCAATCTGAGAAGTCCAACTGACATCATTAGCTCACTTACATCAGTCAGACACTAGGCCTTTTATCACTAGTTGTTAGGGAACATGCTGTCCCTCATGTGACAGTTTGTCTCTTTTAAGCCAGCTACATTTTTTTTTTCAGTGGCTATTAATTCTGGTTTGAATAAGGGAGAGATAGCAGATGAGAATTGCTGTGAAATATACCCTAAAATTAACTGTTGTGCTTTAATTTATCTGCAACCTTTGCACTAGCTCACATATCATTAAGAGGCTGAGCCAATCAAGCAGGCTTTTAAGGTATCTACTCCTGTGTCCTGAAAGAAACCACAAATAAACTCTACTAAAATAACCAAACATTCAGGTTTAAGCTAGTTGTTTAATAAGTTAGATATTTCCATCTGAAACCCCGAGTTAGCAATACATACAAACCTGTTTTCTTCAAATGCACAGACCTTTTTCCCATGCAAGAAGTAAATGATTTTTGATGTATATTTAGAATAGACTAGGCTGCTTAATGGGGTTTTAACTAGAGTAATTATTTTTTAGGAACCCAAGTATTGATCCTGGCATGTTTCTTTCTACTTGAAGTCAACTTGAGTCAAGGGGCTGTGCTGAAACATTTAGTTCTGAGTTTGTATTTTGATCTCTGTTGTATTTGGATGTGTTATGCTGAGAAAGCTCCAGCTACGCAGTCTTCCCCTTCCTTGATCCCTATCGGTATTTATATTGGATATATGTATTTTTATAAATAGGTCGTATTTTAAATCTCAGTTTGTTGAAGACTGTCCATGAATCAAAGTACTGTGATGACCAGTCGTACTGGGAGGTAAGTTTCAATGCAAAATTAACTGTATAGGAGCATGAATAGCACCAAGCAGGAAGTGCTAACTCACTGGGATGAAAGACCCTAGCTATTAGAATAATAAATAAAGGATTTTTTAATCTCCCAGCAAGTTTTGAATGTCCTGGATTGGTCATTCTGGGTCCCACGTGTATGTAGACTTCAGCTAGATTGTTAGAGCTGTTCTTGGGCACAGGGTTAAGTCTGAGACTATCTTGTTTTGTTGTAACACTGAGTCAGAGGTACTCCAACATGCTCTGGGATTGACAGCTTTGGTCTCCCTGCTGCATAAACAGTATCCCTAAGGAAACCCGAGTACCTGAACTGGGGATTTTTGGAAGCTAGCAAATGGAATAGAAGGTGCTGAAGTTCTCCGGGGCCTGGCTCTTTCATAAGATGCATGAAATGTTCTGGCACAAAAACTGCTTTTTGTCTTCACAGTTTCCCCATTCGGCTGTTGGATTTTGAATGGAGGAACCAGAATTAAAGATTAGACCAAAATTTTCCTACTTGTCACTCTATCAAAACTATGATGGGGTAGGTAAAAATCATTTCTCAGGTTCAAAGAAGACATCTGAATGGACAGAGAAAAAATAACTTTTAGGTACTATTAAAAGAAATTTGGTGCACTAGTTAAGGCCTGCTCTTGCAGAGGATTCTGTGCAATTGAACCACTGTTTTTACATGGAACTCCATGTGGCTCCCTCTGCTTCAGATAGTTGACACAGAAAAATGCTGTCAAAGTGCTTACATAATAAAAAAGTCAAGATTTTATTCCTTTTTTTTATTCAGCATATTTGTTTAAAAATGAAGTTATGAGAAACACATAATATTGAAGATAAAGGATAAATACTGCATGCTGACCTCAATGCATTTGTCAGGGATAAAGTAGATCTCTGCTTACAACCTTTCTTGCACTTCCCCTAACTGTCATGACTTCTTACAGAGCAGATAGTGCTATCCCAGGCCCCTCTGTTCATTCTCTCTGTGTACACATTTATATGTTGGCATTATCTTACATGTTTAACATGCTACCAACTTTGTCATTTTCTAATCCAGGTTCAACTCATGTATTTCAATTTTTTGCTTTTCAATTGCTTCATTTTGCTTTAAAATTTTTAGTAACCAGTTGAACACAACTTCTGTAACACAAGTTGCTTCTGATGATTTCTAGCAGTTGTGTTTTCATGGAATAGTTTTTTGTTCCCTCCTTTTCCTCCACTTCATCACATCTCTTTCCTCAGCACTTCCTTGAGCAACTAGTCCAAATGGAGGTTTAGAAAGAGGTAGACAGCAATAGTCACTTGAACCGTGAGATACAAGAGCTTCAGAACCAAAATGTTCCGTGATAGTTAGAGTAGGGACGGTCCCTATCAGCTGAAGAGCAAAACTCTTCCCGTGTCTGGCAGTGGTTAAATTAGAGTTTCCACAGCAAGCGTCGTGAAGAGGCTACTTAAATCTAGAGCAGGTTCTGCCTCATTCATCTTACTGCATCTACGCTGTCATCCACAGCTACAGAAAGTTGTTACTTTCCAGAGACTTCTGTAATTTCACTGCAGGCCAGAGAAAATACTGGGAATGGGGGAAGCCCAAAGCAGCGTAATTCTGTGTCATGCAGGAAAAGCCGCACAAGTAAATTTCAAAGTGAAGGAATGTTTAGTGTTCAGGTATAGGAAATATTTAATAAATATATGTTAAAAAGTTGTTTTAAAGCATTTTAGCAACAGTTTTGGATTGTAAATAACATCACAGAAAAAGCTGGTTGAATACATCTTTTCTCCACTATACTATACTTGTAGGAAACTTCATTATCATAAAAGTGACTTCCATTCTTACTTGTATCAATTTTACATTTGTCAAAAACATTACATTTAAACCAAGATACAAATGTAAGAAAAAAAAGTATTTTAAACAGAATAGAAACTGATTTTTAGTGCTATGATTTAAATTTTCCTTTTTTATCTTTAGACACGATTGAAGGTTACTGTTTACAAAATGGTTTTACAAAATTCTGGGAGTGTGCAGTTAAAAAAATGACATGGCCAATGCAATTCCAGAGGGGTGTTCATTGCCACAAGTCTTCCGTGCGACCAAATTTGAAGACCAGTCCGCTGTTTAAAACAGAACAGAGAGACAAAAGTACATCAGGGAACAGATTAGCCTAATATTTTAAATAAATGATATCAGGGAGTAAATTGCAGTATTTGTAAATCTCCATGCTGGCATGAGACCCAGGTAGACCAATCCCAGGGCACTATCAACTTTACCAACTGTCTGTCCACACATATCTCGTTATCTAGTTACAAAATACAGCAATCAGTTACGGAAAGCTTCAATTTTAACCATTAAAAATAAATTTACATAAGAAAGGATGGGAAAATAGGCTTACCCAAAAAAGATGAATGCATTCTGGAAAAACACAGCTATTCCTGGGCCCACTACTGCTTTTTCTAAGGAAAAACAAAAACAAAAACAAAACAAAAACACCTTCACCATTTTTTCAGAAGTCCTTTTTCTCTTCAAGACTATCCTGCCTCTGACATATTAGAAGCATTAAATTGCATTATATTAGCAAAGTAACTAGTTTAGTTTGAGAGGAACACTTGGAAAGAGCGTTACATGAACTGAGTAATGCAGAAGGTGAGAAGAATTAATGCATATTCAATCAGTGATTTTTATTCTAGGATTAAGTGTTTACCCAGGGAATTATTCCCATATAACTTGAGCAGTTCAATTATATCAGTACAATTTCCGATGTCGCCTAGAGTTATTTAAAGTTATTTTAAAAGTTATTAAAAAAAAAATCTCGGTAATAATACATGGAATGGAAAAGAGAACACTCAGGGAACCAAAATACTGAAAGTGGATCTTCACAGAAACAATCTAAAAACAAGTTCTGAAATATTCTAAATGTTTGTTAAACTTTAAAGTGACTTACCCAAAGTGCATAAAGTCCCATTCCACGCTGCATCTTACCTTTGACAACGTAGCCTCCAAAAAGGATCCACATGGAAGCAATCAGAGATCCAAAAGCCATCATAAAACCAATGAATAGCCAAATCCGTGCACCTTAAAAAAGGCATTTTTGTATATGAATGTTATGTGCCTTTGTCTAACTACATATACTTTAACTTTCAACATACTTTAAGAAGCTTTATAGTTTACACTAAAAAATAAAATCAATTTACCTGTTTGTCCTAGACAGCCTTCACTGTAACTGTCGCCCCGAACTTGTCCGTTAGACACTGCATTGATCCTGTATGAGCAAAACAGGAAGAAAATATATAACACAGGTGAATGTAAACACAGGTGAATGTAAATGTCTATAAGCAATAGGAGAGACTTCTCCGAAACAGAACAATTAAGTTCTAGAAGTGAATAGTTCTGATCAAGAAATTACACTTACATCAGGAACGCAATAGTGGCTATAACCCCACAAGCATGGTATGAATGATTGAATTCTTCCACTTCAGGGTATTTTACAGCTGCATCTATGATTATCCACCAACCTGTAAAAAACTATTAAAAAACCCCACAAAAGCTTAAAATACTTTTAGCAGTATGAGTACCCCACCAAAATAACATTAACATATAAAACTATTTTTGCTTCAACTAAGGGACAACCAGTTTTGCTATCAAATTAATTATGAACAATGTTAAATGCAACGCCTTCGAGGAAGTTTTCTCCAAGGAAACAATATAGAAGAGCTTTCCAAGTTAGTTCTTCGTTCAGAGAAGCGTTCTTTGGATGCAAACATATAGGTCTAGGCTCAAATTCTGCTGCTACCCGCACTAACAACATAGCCCCCTCCTTCCTTTTGCTTCCAAACACCCGGTTTTGGGTTCACTGCCAGCTAATGCCGCTGCCAGAAGCGCGATGCGGTAGGAAGGTGTCTGCACCCACGAGCACTCCTGCGGCAATGGAGGCGATCGTGTTCCGCTTCTCTCCCCAGTCCACGCACTCCGAGCACCTCAGGCTCTCAAGGAAGCCAGACATCTTTCCGCTCTCTGAGGAACTAGGAGGAAAAAAAAAAAAGAAAAAAAGGCACTTTTATTTCAAACAGGAATTTTATCGCACACCACAGTGGAGCTGAGCTGCCCCTGTACCACAGACACGGCCGCAGAACGCGGCGTCCAGGAGCCCCTCAAGGGAGGGCGGAGGCAGCGCCCGGCCGCCATGGGCGGCGGCGGGGCTAGGAGCAGCAGCCACGCCGCAGCGGGGG